GGATGTGCAGGAGGCAGCCAATCAATGATTCTCTCTCATCATTGATGTTTCTTTTTCTCTCTTCCTTCCTCTCTGAAATCAATAAAAATATATTTAAAAGAAATATACTCCAGCCCTAGCTGGTTTGGTTCAGTGGCTAGAGCATCCACCTAAGAGATTGAAGGGTCCTGGGTTCAATTCCAGTCAAGAGCACATGTTTGCGTTGTGGGCTTGATCCCCCAGTAGGGGATGTGCAGGAGGCAGCCAATCAATGATTCTGTCATCATTGATGTTTCAATCTCTCTCTCCCCCTTCCTCTCTGAAATCAATAAAAATATATTTAAAAGAAATATACTCCAGCCCTAGCTGGTTTGGTTCAGTGGCTAGAGCATCCACCTAAGAGATTGAAGGGTCCTGGGTTCAATTCCAGTCAAGAGCACATGTTTGCGTTGTGGGCTTGATCCCCCAGTAGGGGATGTGCAGGAGGCAGCCAATCAATGATTCTGTCATCATTGATGTTTCAATCTCTCTCTCCCCCTTCCTCTCTGAAATCAATAAAAATATATTTTTTTAAAAAAGAAATATACTCCAGCACACTTAGTTATAAATAAAATTGTTTTTAAACCTTTCTACTCAAAGATAGCCTATTGTGATTTTTAAAATAAAACAATCACTCCTCTGAGAAGTTTTTACAATCAGTAATATAAATGGAAACTCTGCTTAAAGGAATATATTGGTCATGAATCCATAACAGGAGACAAGCTGTTGCAACAGAGCAAATAGCTCGAGTCTGACAATCCCAGATCCTGAGGTGGGAAATGTTCAACAGTGCATTTCCTATTGTAAGAAGCACAGAACCACTCATGCTGAAAGAGACTTCCTGTCCGCCCGGAGCTCCAGAAAAACTGCTGTGTGGCTTTGGCATAGGGTTCACTGGCCAGATGAAAGGCAGGATCCTTGAAGACAGTTTTATAGGAATTACAGTGGTGACTGTTTCTGATGTTGACTCTTAATGAAAACCAAGGGCTCAGAAATGCTTTCAATTGTCTTAGCGCTGACCAATAGAACTTTCTGGGCTGATGGGAATACTCTTTGTCTGCAGTGCCCAGTAAGTAACGTAGCCTTCATCCTCATGTGGGTTCTGAACACTGGGAATGTGGCCAGTACAATGGACTATAATTAAAACTAAACTCTAGTTTAATTGTATTCCATTTCAGTAAATTTAGATGGCCACATGTAGCTACTGACTGCTACACTGAACTGAGCAGGCCTAGAAAGTATGGAAAGGATACTAAATCATTATCCATTGAGCCATGAAAGTAACTGAGCAAATTTTGTTGCCCTAAAATACTGATAATGCCTGGTGATAATTTAGACATTCAGTGCAAAAGACATTTATTTTGTACTCAGAATGGTCAACCCATTGGTGATATAGGAAGCTGATTCACAACTATGCATTCTATTTATATGTGGTGGTAAAATTAGTATCAGTGAATATTCCCTCTCTCTCTCTCTCTCTCTCTCTCTCTCTCTCTCTCTCTCTCTCTCCTTGTCTCACTTCCTCTCTCTCTTCTCTCTCTCTCTCTCTCTCTCTCCTTGTCTCACTTCCTTTTTTTCTTATCCTTCTCTTTATTTATTTTTATTAAATTTATTGGGGTGAATTTGGTTAATAAGATTATATAGGTTTCAAGTGTAGACTTCTATGTTGCCCTGAGTGTCCAAATCTCTTTCTTTTTCCCTTTTCAATGTTTCTGTTAGTTGGGAAGCTATTGACCCAAAAGTATGATCATCTTCAAAAACAGCCTTTCTAATTCCCACAAAGGCACCGGAACACGTAGACATACCGAAAGGCATAACTGTGTTATGCTTTGTGGTAATGAATCAGTGTGAAGAAAAGCTGGAAGAGGGAAGAGAGGTGAGTGAGACTGACGCATGGAAACTTAATATTTCAGCTGGCAGGCCACACTGGCAGATGGGTGTGGGAGATGGCCATTTAGTCTGTGCATGAGTGAAGCTCCGATAAACAAGGAAACGGAAAGCTAATGTGATGGAGAGTCATTTAGGAAAGGCTTCAAGGAAACTATGAATGAACACCGTGTGGCATTAAAAACTCCAGGACAAATCAATGGTCAACATTTCATCCGGTCCGCTTCAGAAGGAGACAGTTAGACGTGGACAACATATACAAGAGTCTCCCGAGGGAGTTAGATCTGTGTGCAATGAGACTCCACAAAAGTAGAAGCCTATGAGCATTTTTGTGACTCTAGTGCAAAGTACGTATACCTTAGAGATATTTAATTGACTCAAGTTTACTGATGTGTATTTTTTTAGAAAAATAAACTAAATAACATGTAAAAATTCTCCCTTGGAAAACCAGACATTAAAGTTATTAAAAAAAACACACCACATGACTTTGAGGAGAAAGCACCTGACTCGTTTGATATAATATTGGCTAACAGCTGGGCATACACTAAGCTACTGCTTACGATTAAATTATATCATATTTAATTTAAAACATCTTTCACATAATGGGTCCCCATATTCTTCTATACCATTGAGCCACTAAACATTAAAAAAAGACTATTAACTACTTTGACTGGATTACCTGGCAATGCAAGCTAATCCATGAGTCATAATTGGAGCAAAAGAATCCAGGGATGTTTATCAAGGGGGTGGCTTCCCTAACAAGGGTATTTATAGCACAAGGGGGTTCAATTTCTCCTTCTGAAATAAGATTTTGTTCTCAGTGACTGAGAAGCCCAACTATAGCATTGCGGTCCTAAAACTACGCATGACTAAACTTTAGAGTAGCTTTATTTGAACCACAGGCTCCCATCTCTTTTTGGTACCATTACTAGAGCACTTGGCTCCTCATTTTCCTTGATGTCTTTGCCTGTCTGTGTTTCCACCATGAACTCCTTGAAGAAAGGGCCTCTGCTCTGTATTCTCAAAAGCTCTCTGTCACTGTTACATGGTCAGTACTTCACAAACAAAGGACTGGGCAATTAGATTGTTGAAATAAATAACAGAGCCCAATTTCCTTGTAATTGCATTTTCTAGAACAGGGACAAGGAAGTCCTAAGTTTGGTAGGTCGGAGAGCTCAGTGCTCCGGAACATGGGCTGTAGAGTCAGGGAATATAGGCTCTGCCACTCGGGATGTAAGTGACCATGAGCAAACCCAAGCCTCGGCCTCTGCATCTGGAAAATGGGTATGATCATAACGCTCCCTTCAGAGGGCGCTGTGAATAACATGTGAGAAGATGTGTCTGAAGCCTGTAGCATGGTCATTGGCACAAACAGGGTTCAATAGATGTTAGCTATTACAGGGCTATTGTTAAACATTTTGAAAATAGATAAACATTTATCCCTTTTTTGTGGCATTAAAATAAAATACACTGCAACCTCACTTTCTTCTTAAATTTGACCCTCTTTCGTATCTCCTTTATAGAAAAAATGCAGTGTTTTCAAAATTAACATATGGAACTGTCATGCTGTTTGTGTGGGCACATAGTATTCAAAAGGCACTATTTCCTGTCCAGCTTGATGCAGCATAGCTAAGGCAAGGATCCCAGGTGAGAAAGGTAAAGGGATTGAGAAGTACAGATTGGTAGTTACAGAATAATCACGGGGCTGTAAAGTACAGCCTAGGGAAAATAGTCAATAATACTGTAATAACTATGTATGGAGCCAGTTGGGTGCTGGAAACATCTGGGGAATACTTTGTATAGTATATGATTGTCTAACCACCATGCTGTACCCCTGAAACTAATACAAAATAATATTGAATGTAAATATATACATTATATAAACTTTTGATTAAATACTTTAAAAAACAGCATATTGAGGATAACTCCAAAATGGCTGTAAATCAGTAGCATTTATTACAAGTCTCCTAACTGCCATAAAGAATATCTATTCAAGTATTTAAGTATTCATTCATTCATTCATTCATTCATTCAAATATTTATTGAGCCCAAATTACATCCAGGCACTGCTCTTGATGTTTGTGACACACAGTGGGCAGGGTGGACAAAGGTCCCTGTCTTCATGGAGCCTACATTCCAACATGAAGCAAAGTTCACCTAAAATAAAGCATCTACTTAGTCATTCCCTCTTTTTATATCAAATACCATGGTTCCTCATTCAATCATATCAGACGTTGATAGGCTAGTAGAGACCCTTATATATTTTTTATTTTTTATTTTTATCTGTTTTATTTTTATCTGCCCTTCTGCAACAAAAACTGAATGTAATATTCTCTCAAATAGAAGGCAGACATTTACAGTTCTTAAAGCTAAGGACAAATTTACAATAAAGCAGCGGGTTATTTTTACAACTGAGCAGAGTGGCAATGATCAGAATTTTCCCTTGCTAACCAGAAATATAGTAGGAATGTGACAACTTTTTTTTTTTTTTTTTTCAAACCAGTTTCACTTCCGTCGCAGCAGCTGAATACCCATGAAAGTCTGAAAAAAGAATTGTTTTCCTGGGAAAGAGTTTTGATTGCACATGACTTTCTTTCAGCTAACTGTAAACACCACTAAACTTATGAAATAAGGAGCATTTTAAAGTTAATGCAAGTGGCATTTTTGAGAAAAGGGTGAACTAAAACGGTTAAAATGGATAAAGAACACAGAGAGATGTGCTGGGTTGCCTTTAGCTGGAAGGCGGAGTGAATGTGTTAAAATTCTGCGCACACCTGTCTTGCTGACAGGCCCTTTACCTGGCTGCCATGAGGTCCAGGAGATGCTGCCACCGGTCATTGACCTTTCCCAGCTTGTATTCGATCTCCGAGGCCTTGCTCTCGTGGCTGGCTCTAGCGAGTCGCTCTCCCATTTGTTGGAGCTGTATTTTGTTCTCTTGGGCAATAGCAATTTCCTCTTGATAATCCTGCGCAATAAATAGCAATCCCAGAGGTCAGAAAGCATATTCTTGATACCTGCAGCCTGGCTGTCCTAGAAGCATATAATTATAGTTTCCTACTGCTTGGAAGTAGTTCTGACGTGAGGAACACTTTGAATATCCGTCCATGTGCACAAACCAAATGGAACCTATTATTTGCAGTATGTATGCAGAGTCCACATCGAATTTTTATGTAGATATTTTACAAGGAAATAAGGGGTGCTTTGTATTTACATAAAATGGGCATTAAAAAACAAAGGTACACACATAGATACAAAAGACAAAACTTGAAGGATTTTAATGCTGGGTTATTATACCTTCTTGTAACCACCAACCTGACATTATAGTTAGAATCAGTTCTCATACAAATAGCTGCCCAAGGGGCTTACACGATATGTGTGTGTGTGTGTGTGTGTGTGTGTGTGTGTGTGTGTGTATTTAACATATAAATGTAAGCGTACATGTGTGTTTGTCAATCGTTATTGATGCAGAATGTTTTAAGAGTAGTACCTTTGGCCTAGCTGGTTTTGCTCAGTGGATAGAGTGTCGGCCTGGGGACTGAAAGGTCCCAGGTTCGATTCCAGTCAAGGGCACATGTCAGGGTTGCAGGTTCGATCCCCATTAGAGGGTATGCAGGAGGCAGCCGATCAATGATTCTCTCATCATTGATGTTTCTATCTCTCTCCCTCTCTATCTCCCCCTTCCTCTCTGAAATCAATAAAAATATATTTTTTAAAAAGAGTAGTACCCTCATTTTAAAGAGACATCCTCTATAATATGTCAATGTTTTATAACACATAAATCAATGGCAAATTAACTCTCAAGAATAATAACCACTAGTCTTAGAAGATCAATGGGTCTTGAACTTTCTTCCTTTCTTTACCAATTTCGGCACTAGCTCCTCTTCAGGATTGCTGTGGATGAGGAGATCAGGCTACATGTGGCCTATCTGCAGGAGACAGGCCACACAATGTTATGACTAAAGTGATGCTGAAAGGTACCTCCCTCCCACCTCTACCTGCACTCCCCATCCAGTGACCCTCCTACTCTCTTCCAGAGTGATAAGACCCAATCTTTTGTACCCCCACCTGCCCTCCTCTTTATATTACTTCAACATGATGGGATTCAAAGACCAATACATTGGATGTACTTACTAAAAGGTATAATATTTCACCATACATTTGAGATAATCTTACTGAGAAATCTTTATTTCAAATGAATTACTCTAAGTCTAATATTTATAGCAAAATAATGCTCTTGGTCTGTCTTTAAGATGAAAATGTTTTTAACTGTTAATGCCAGCAGACACCAGTGTCTTGGTTACAGTCTGTTTATTAATTGCTTTTTGCTAATATTGCTAAAAATGACCAAGCCTCGGTGTTATTTTCCTTAACAAAAGAGACAGCACAAGAGGCAAGCTCATAAAGACTTCTTTTTCAACTCCATAACTTATTTTATATACAAAATAGTAGTTAATATTTTAAAGATGATTCCTAACATTGTGCCAAATAGTGTAACAAAATTAACTGTAACAAATTAAAATTTTTCTAAATTTTAAATTACAACTGTGTATCATTTAAGGGCTAGTTTTTTTCCATACCCCCAAACTATGCATCTTAAATTTCATGAAGAAAATCAATGAAAATATAGATAGACTTAGCCAACATTTATTCTATAGCAAACTTCACTACAACACCTACAGTACGTTAATCATGTCTAGTGGGACATTCTCTGATGCTCAGAAACTAGCAGAGCTATTAGCAGATGCTTACATGAAATCTGTATCACCTCAGCCCACATTTGAAAGTATTATGATATCAAAAATACAAATGTTTATCCTTAGAATTTGCAATTTTAAGTGGAAACCTATGAAGTAAATTCATATTACGTGTTGCTTTGGAGTTTTTCTTTTTCTTTGTATGTGTGCATGAATACGGAAATTTTTTCCTAATACCCATTTATATTTATTTTCAGAGACCTTGGAGGTACTCTTACCAAAGGAAAGGAAGAGACACTGGGGAAGGCTAACACACAGCTTATGAGAAGTTGGCATTATTCTGAGTGAAGGAGATGGAGTGATGAACAAAACAGACCAAGTCCCTGTTCCAGGGAAGCTAAGAGTCCCGTGGGGCTCCCACTGTAGACAGATAATGAACAAGAAAGTGGAGAAGACACTGTACACCAGATGGTGATATGTGCTAATGAGAAACATAACCTAAAATACAGTGATTGTTCAAAACTATGTGGAAATACCACTAAAATCTTCAAAGCATTTTTCACTGCTAGTAAATTTGATCAGCCCTATATAGATATAGAAATGTTCTAAATCCATGTGAATATATAAAATACTTTAATAATAATATATAACTTGAGAATAATGCTAAACCAAAATTCTCAGAAAAGTTCTAATTCCTGTGACTATAAATCCTGTTTTATAAAGAAAATGTCAGCCTAGCTGGGGTGGCTCAGTGGTTTAGTGTCAGCCTATGAACCAGGAGGTCATGGTATGATTCCTGGTCAGGGCACATGCCCGGATTGTGGGCTCAGATCCCCAAGAGGGAGAAGGGCATGCAGGAGGCAACCGATCAATGATTATCTCTCATGTTGATGTTTTTCTCTCTCTCTCTTTCCCCCTCTCCCTCTCTGAAATCAATAAAAAAAAAATTAAAAAAGAAGAAAATTTCAGTTTAATTAATCCTAAGTTGTTGTTTTTTTTTAATTCTTCTCTGTGATGTTACCTCCTACACATAAATGATGCCCACTGGACCAGTAACTAAAAGTCCAAAATATTGAACATTATCAGCAAATACTCTATTTCATAACAAATTGAAAATATTCTCCGTAGAAAGACAAATCCTATGTGATTGCACATATATGTGGAGTGTAAGGAACAAACTAAATGAACAAACAAAACAGAAACAGACTCATAGATACAGAGAACAGACTGATAGTTGCCAGATGTTAAAGGGCTTGGGGGACTGGGTGGAAAACGTAAAGGGATTGAGAAATATTAACTGGTAGTTACAGAACCGTCCTGGGGGAGGTAAGGTCAAGTGTAGAAAATATAGTCAATAATATTGTAATAACTATGGTACCGGGTGGGTACTTGAAATATCAGGGGGCCACTTTACAAGTATATGGTCATCTAACCACTATACTGTACACCTAAAACTAATACAAAATAATACTGAATATAAACAGTAATTGAGAAATAAAATTTAAACTTAAAAATAAACAAATCAACAAAAGAAAATATTTTTTAAAGTAAAGGAGGCCTTTCCACGCAAGTTTATTTTAATTTAAAAAAAATGAAACGTTCCTAAGAGAGTGCTGCTTTGATGGAAAGTAATTGTGAGCGCGGCCAATCCGTACCTATCGCAGGCCTAAGCACTAGGAAGGGTGAAAACAGATGCGGCCAGGCGTCCCATACCTTCTTGAGCTTCTCTATCATTTCTTCAATGAGGATGTCTCCATTCTGGGAAACTTTGCTCTCCATCTGAGTCAGCCATTCGCAAAGCTCTTTGTTCTTCTCACTGAAGACTGCCCATTCATTCAGTCTCTCGCTGACCTGCTGCCGCCGTAGGGAGAGCTGGGAAGTTGAAAATGAGAGAAAACACAAAAGGATGGTCAGAGTGGAGCTCGTACCTAGAGGGAAATAGCCAGCAAACTCTGGGCGGATTGATATGAACAACAGTGCGTCTCCTTTGGTGCTGCTCCCTGCGGCTCAGGCCTGGGAACACGGCCCTTAAATACAAGTGGGAGACGTGAACCCTGTCCTTTCCCCCCGAGGAGACACGGGCACAGCCACGTATGACAGGTGCTGACACTCCAGCTTCACACGACAGTGGGTTCCGTGTAGATAGAGTACAGGATCGTGCACTTTCACTAAAAAAGCCTAAGTTTTCTTGGGGGCAAAAAATACGGAACAAAGAGCAGTGCATTTACCTGGGTGGATTCCAGTAGGAATGGAAAAGGCTAAGAAAACAGGTGGAAAGTTTTGGAGACAAATGTCACCGATGTTAAGCTACTCCAGACAGCGCCGAGGATAAGACTACACCCCCTCCTCCCTGCCCCCCTTTCCTCTAGAACTCAGACAGCACCGTGCACAGTATCCTGCACCCCTACGATTTTGAATTTTCTGGTGAATGTGACTTTTTCTTTTTCATTCAGAGAGTCAAGAGTGCAGCTGATGGTTCCGGTTCAGTGGTGTCCAAGCTGAAACTATATTTTCCTAATTGGAACTTCTCAATGCAACTGTTTTCCAAGAAAAAAAGTAGACACTCTTGCCCTTGAGACTTAAGAGTAATAGGTCTTGCTATGTGTAGCTTCCTTCTCCCTTCCTCTTCTCCCAAATTTTGGCCATGGACAAGAGTGAATTCTAGGGCTTTTCTCAACAACATCTGCAGAAAAGATGGCTGCATTAGAGAAAAATAGTATCTATTTCTTTGAGAGGAAGGTATTACTATCCACATTCAAGAGGTAGGAATGGAGGTTAGATGCATTTGAGGCATTTATTTATAGTCAGTAGGAGGTAGAAGCAGCGAAGCCCGAGTCTGATACAGGCTATAATATAACATCATGATAAATATCCAGGCACAGCTGAGATTCAAAACAGTCTTCATCATTTACTAATGATATGATCGGGCAAGGCTAATCATCTTCTCTTAAGCCTTACTTTTTTCATTTGTAAATTAATCTTAAGATTGGTTCCAAAACTCTTTCCACAAATATTTATTGTCTATGAGTATGGTGATTACCAGAGGGAAATGGGGGTGAGAGGAGGTAGAAGAGGGTATAGGGGGATAAATGGTGATGGAAGGAGACTGGACTTGGGGTGGTGAACACACAATACAATATACAGATGATGTATTATAGAATTGTACACCTGGAACCTATGTAATTTTATTGACCAATGTCAACCTAATAAATTCAATAAAAAATGTTTATTGTTTGCCATAAACCAGTGTCTACTACGTACCAAGCATTGTCCTATATACTAGAATACAGTAGGCTCATAATAGAACACAAACAATAAAATAATTTAAGAAAATGACCAGTAAATACTAAAGACGTAACAAAAACTGGTCATTAATATACTACAACCACTGTATATGCCTCTAGGGCATCATTTGACTTTTTCATTTTTTTTCTCCTTGACATTCCTGCATTCTATATCTCCACCAAGCAGCTAGAATATATATATATATCTAGTGTTGATCAACACCGGAAGTGTGGCTTTCATTTGCTTACGTAGAGCAAGAGCTGGGAGAGAAACAGGTAGGCTCCAACTAAATTGCACTTTTGGTCTCAAATTGGCGCCAAAAGTTTTTCAAAAGATTTAATTCATAACGGGGACAGCATTTGCCTCGTGGTTTGTAAGACTAATATTTAAGCTGCATGATAAGGGACGCTAACATCTCTTTCTTTGGGTTCGGTGGAAACCCTCACATTTACCAGCTTAGCACTTACATTTTCTCAAGGGCATAAACATACTGCCTTTGCCAACAGCTGACGAGCCCTGGCTAAAACCCCCAGAGTGAGGCAGCTGAACAGGAAACACATCCTCCTCTGCTTCAAATATTTTTACCATGACAATTTGAAAAACAATGAGCTATTACAATGATGATATATTTATACCTCAACTAGAATTACACACAGGATCTACAAACCCAAACAGGAATAAAAGCAAGTATCACCTATGGCTGCACAGTCACAGCCAAGCATCTGGGGAACCTATTTGAAAACAGGACACTTTTCTGTCTGAACTCTCCTCTGCCCAGTCTACTCACGGCACATCTTCTGCATCCCCACCCAAGTCCTGGTTACTCCCGCCTGCTCGTCGACAGCTTCCATTGGAACCAGCACAGACTCCCTGCTCTTGGCAGAGCGGTAGTGCTGTGTTTAAAACCCGTCTGTGACTTTGAAAATGAGGCCTAGACACAAGCCCATTTCCTTTTGTGGTTTTATACTTGATAGAATGTCTCCGGAAACACTAAGTCAAGACCTAGTAACTAATCTATATTCCTCCTTACACTTCTCTCCTGGCGGCACCTTTGGCCCGACCATGAGTAAACTCTGACTGATTTATTTTTATTTTTTTAAATATATGTCTTTATTGATTCCAGAGAGGAAGGGAGAGGGAGAGAGAGACAGAAACATCAATGGTGAGAGAGAATCATTGATTGGCTGCCTCCTGCATGCCCCCTACTGGGGATCGAGCCTGCAACCCTGGCATGTGCTCGTGACCAGAATCGAATCCTTTAGTCCGCTGGCCGATGATCTATCCACTGAGCCAAACCAGCTAGGGCTCTGGTATTTTTACACAGTATATTTCCTTAAAGCAAAAAGTGTTAGATAATCATAATCTTCTTAACTTCCAATATTCAGAAACCTTGTCATTATTTTATATTTAGAGGAACGCAAGCATAAAAACATAAAATAAATGTTCAAAAGTCTTGTCTAAATTACAAGCATATGAACACTTAGCTGTTCTGCACACTGGAAATAAAAAGAAATAGTCTTTGTCCTCCAGAACTTCATAATTTTGCAATCAAGTCATAAACATTAAAAAAAGAAGAAAAGCTCTGGTCAGGTTAGCTCAGTGGTCAGATTGTCAGCTTGCAGACCAAAAGGTCTCAGGTTCGATTCCCGGTCAAGGGCACATACCTTGGTTAGAGTTTCAATCCCTGGACCCAATGGCGCGAGTGAATGTCTCTCTCTCTCTCCTGCTCCTCTCTCCCTTCCACTCTTTCTAATAAAGGAGGAGGAGGAGGAGGAGAAGAAGGAGGAGGAGAAGAAGGAGGAGGAGGAGAGGGGAACAGTACACTGACCATGATGGCACAGACCAAAAGGGATGTGGGAGTCCAGAGGACTCTCTCTAAAGTGTCCTCTCTCTGAAAGCTTTACAGACACCAATCAGCCAGAGAAATGGATCTAGTCCAAATCATTATACATAATGTACCGAAAAGTATTGAGTGAGCAAGTAGTGCTAGATGTTTCTGAATTTCAAGAAAAACAAATAACATAAAAGTAACTGAACAGTGTTGTGATCATTTTTCATTATTTGTACCCACCAAATTAGCTTTCATTTATGTGACATACCATGATCAATCTTTACATTAAAAAATATGTAATGTATTGATTTGGGATTAAAAAATTCAGACAATAATAAAACATGTGATTGCCATTATCACACTCCACGTAAATTTCTCACTGTTTCACTGAGAATATAGAGCGCTATGGAAAGTGGCTAATTGTTTTAACTCAAAACATTAGCACCTTTATGAAAATCATCTCTTACACGTTTCGTTTCTCCTTTTTAAAAGTATAGCGTGCGTTTGTAGGAAACTTTTCACACATTTATCCAGTGTGCTCCAGAATTTTCCTCTTGCTCATGGCCTGAGAAATGTCTGGGTTTTTAATCTAAACATACAGAGGGAAATTTACCCACCAACAAATTTCTTGTTGATGTTAAATGAATCCAGAGGCTATAAGGCTCTTGAACTCTGTTTTAATGTTTTCTGAAGCATGAAGAGAAGCATGGCTAACGTCGGGGGAAGTGGGAGGAAAGCAGAGAAGAGATCTCTAGTGGAGCATAGCTGGCCTGAAAGGAAGGCCCAGCAGGCTCCTTCTCAAGTGTCTCTTCCTCATCCTTCCACACCTGCTTCTCCCCAGGCAGGGCCCCTGCTCCACTCCTCTGCCTCTTTTCAAGCTGCTACCGTGTCCAACACATCTGCTTGCGCCCTCTGCACCAAGCATGTCAAACTCACGGCTGGCGGGCCGCATGCCTCGCCTCCACTCCCCATCTCAGTTCAAGATGTATCTTCTTCAACAGGCATTTTCTTAATTCTCGCAATCCACATTGCCCTCAATTTGCTTACATCTTTATACATTGTTTTAACTGGTTTATACCCAGTTTTCCCTTCATTGTATAGATCAGTGATGGCGAACCTTTTGAGCTCGGCATGTCAGCATTTTGAAAAACCCTAACTTAACTCTGGTGCCGTGTCACACATAGAAATTTTTTGATATGTGCAACCATAGTAAAACAAAGATTTATATTTTTGATATTTACTTTATATATTTAAATGCCATTTAACAAAGAAAAATCAACCAAAAAAATGAGTTCGCGTGTCACCTCTGACACGCGTGTCATAGGTTCGCCATCACTGGTATAGATCCTTCTGACTGATTTTAGTCTCAGCTCAATTGTAAACTTGATACTAGCGACATCTGCGATAGCTTGTGAAATTCACAACAATTACAGTGACTGGTTGATGGGGCAAATATGCATCACAGCTTATTATGTGCCAGGTAAGACAACCAGGTACAGGAAGGAGCTTGACAGACATGGTCCCTGCTTCCTGGAGGGTGTGGTCTCAAGACTCAAGGTCAGGGCCTGTTCTTCACTTGTGGGCCTTTAATCAATGTTATTCCTTTTGCCTCGCATGTCTTCTTGTTACCTTGCCCCCAATCTTTTCCTTTCGTTTCCAAATCAAAACTCAATCTGGGATCTCTTTCAAGGCATTGCACACATAGCAGGCAACTATAATCTGAATTATTAAAAATGACCATGATAAATCGGCAGTAACAATGTGCCATGGACAGAACCAGCCCCACAGTATTATCTAAACCCGCACAGAAAACAATGGTCTTCACACGTGGAAAGTAAGAAGCAGACCACCAATATCTACCTAGCAAAACCACAACCGTGAACCGCAGAACCGTGTTTCCTCTTAAAAATATTATGCCAGCCAGTGAAACAGAGAGCAAAATCCAGTTTGAATGAATGCATCTCACATGCAATGGTAAGACATAATTTGCCTTCATCTAACATATTTTTTATTACTTTATTGGGGTGACATCGGTTCACAAAACCACATCGGTTTCAACTGTGCAGCTCAACAAAACATCGTCTGCACACTGCATCCTGGGCCCATGGCCCCAAGTTCATCTGAAATATATCTGTAATAACAGATTTCTCCCTCTGTGCCTACTATGAGTTATGAGACCCATCCAAACATGGGCCACGCTACTAGACATTTCAAATCATGGCCCCGTATTCCACCTCCCTGAGCTAGTGCAGAATCCAGAACTCCTCTCACCTGGCGGCACAGTTCTTCCCACTGCCTCTGCAGAAGCTCCCCGCGTTCGTTCAGCATGGACACGTCATCAGCGCTGATGTAGGCACAGAGGGTGTCCTTCAGTAACGTCAACTGTGCCAAGTCATCTGTCCAGCTGCCCACTGCAGTTTCCAATTCCTAAAGACAAACACGCAAACTTGAATACTCATGGACATCCATCCTCAACAATTTCTGAAGTGTATTCGAGATCCCTTCTTGATACAATTACCTTTCCACCTCACTCTCTGTTTGAACATCTAACTTGGTATCTAGTTATTTTCTTCCGCATGATTTGATAATTTTCCAAGTTCTGATAAAATATCTGATTGCCTACAGAATCTTTCCACCATCTATCATCATTTCACTGATCATTTTTGATCATCTTTTCTAAGTTGAAGAGTTGAAGTTGCATTACCTCATTGATCTTTACTTTTAAACTGACTTCATAAACTCCTAGCCCATCCATTTTTCTAGTTCTGAGTTACTGATCATATTAATGAAATATATTTTTTAAAAACTCAAACTCTTAGATTGAACTTTCACGTTCAAACACTATGAATTGCTACATTCTGTGATATAGAATTATAAGGTAAAAGTTGAGAAGGTCTAGTGATAATTTTACTCAAATTAAAATAATGGGCTGAATGCGTTTTTTGCAGGATTAGAGATTTCTTTAAGTAACTTGTCCAAATACATATCTTCTGATTTTGGGGAGAACCGATTTAAGAAAAAAATCATAAAAAAATATTTGAATAGGTTGACATTAGTTTTTGCAGTGTTTGAACAGATTTTGCAATTTGCATAGCTAATGCTTTTTGCCAGCTCTTGATGATCTTAGATTCCAGCTAATTTAATATATAAATAGAATATTTCACGTGGCTTTTCCCCCTCTCTTTTTGTGTCTTCACATAGCAGACAAGTTTCCAAAGGCAAAGGCAATTAACGGCACTGTCAGAGGCTAACGTCCTAGGCAATTTAAGCAAATGAAGGTTCAGCCTGAATTTTCTAGGTAATTGTTTGTTCTGCTGCTAAGGGTGGTTTGGGGGAAGAGAAGACGGGAGCTGGACCAAAGTGCATCCTTTTAATCTCCAAACTTAATAGCAGGGCATGTTTGTAAGTGTCCTGTATTTTGGGAGATGAGATCCCATGGTAACAGTATTTGGCTGAAAGTGCAAATCATCCAGGTATATTAAATATGCAGCATTCCTGTTTATATCCATAGACATATTAAGTTGCCATGCCAATGTAAAGGCTTTCCTCTTTTTACAACAGTTTTTAACTTCCAACTCAAACATCAGATTTAGTATATAGATTAAAAAAGTAACAGCTGGTGTGGCTCAGTGATTGAGCATCGACCTATGAACCAAGAGGTCACGGTTCAATTCCCAATCGGGGCACATGCCAGGGTTGCAGCCTCGATCCCCAGTAGGCAGGTATGCAGGAGGCAGCCAATTAATGGTTCTCTCTCATCATTGATGTTTCTATCTCTCGCTCCCTCTCCCTTTCTCTCTGAAATCAATAAAAACATGTTTAAAATAAATAAATAAAATAAATTAAAAAGTAACACCACCACCAGAAACCAACTCTTTCAGACTCCCAGACTCCCTGACTTGAGTCCATGTGGTAAAAATAAAGCCTTTGGACTCAGGCAACCTTGATATTTACTAACTTTGAAAAGCTATTAAACTTCTAGAAGTCTCAGTTTTCACACCTGTAGTAGGGAAATAAAAGGTTGTTCTCGTGAGCTGTGCTCATGACAACAGAGAGGACATTGATACAGTCACTGGAACAGGGAAGGAGTTGATAAATGCCCATGCCTGGTTACAATTATGGGTTTAACACAAACTCTTAAATCTTTGCATACTTCTGCATTCATACCTCGTGATATTATTTCACTCACCATCCACGATGTAAAGCACACTTACTACCTTCTATTTTTCCTAAGTCTGACTCTTCTCAAGTTTCAAGGAATAGCCATAATTTTAATATCCAAGAAAAATTCTTATATGCACACATTTTATGATTTCCAAACTTCTTTTTTGTTGTTGTTAATCCTCACCTGAGGATATTTTTTCATTGGATTTTAGACAGAGTGGAAGGGAAGGGGAGAGACAGAGAGAAACATCAGTCTGAGAGAGACACATCGATTGGTTGCCTCCTGCATGTGCTCCTACTAGGGCCAGAGATTGAGCCTGCAACTGAGGTACTTGCCCTTAACTGGAATCGAACCTGCGACCCTTCAGTCTACAGGACGATGCTCATTCCTAGATTTCTTTAATAATTAATATTTCTTAAATGCTTACCTTCTTAGCCAAAGTGAAGCAGAGAACTGATTAAAATCCAAATTACTTAAGTATGTGTGAAGTTTTAAACAGAATTACTCTAGTGCAGTGATTTGCAAATGATAGGAAACACAAGGATGTGTACAGAACATTTTTAAAGGCAGTTTTGATTTGACCTGCATGTGGCTCAGCAGAGAACTGCTATTTGGGCACTACCCTTGGCTACCCAGGTGTGAATGGAAGGCTTCGTTCAGCCGCTGTGTCACGTTGGTCTCAGTGAGCTCAGGACGTGGCCAGTGCTCTGCGTTAGCGACTGATTGCTTCCAGTGCGCTTTGAGGTGTCAATCACAATCTGTAAGTAGCGGGGCCCTGAGTGCCCGGAGGACTGTGGCCCAGGCAGTGACTGAGGTCAGCTATTTCCAGCTGCTGTTCCTTACAGTAGAGTCTGCACGGCAGGGCGTGCTCCTCCAGGGCCACTGCCTGCAGGATCCTCACGCTGCCCAGCCTCGCCTTCCCTCCTGCAAACTAGGCTCTTCTGCTAGAAGGACTCTCCGTGTGGTGTGGCTGCTTTAAAGAGATCACTTCTGTTGCAATATACCCGGAACTTGCACCTACATGCAGACGCCATAGGAGTGTGACCTGATTATGCCTTCAAAGGCATTATTACAGCAGAAGCACACAGGCAGGTAACAGGTAAAGCTCAGTCCAGCCCGGCTGGCGTGGCTCAGTGCCTGAGCATCAACCTATGAACCAGGAGGTCAGATTTCGATTCCCCAACAGGGCACATGCCCAGATTACAGGCTCGATCCCCAGTGTGGGGGGCATGCAGGAGGCAGCCGATCAATGATTCTCTCATCATTGATGTTTCTCCCTCTCTCTCCCTCTTTCTTCCTCTCTGAAATCAATAAAAAATTATTTCAAACAAACCAACCAACCAAAAAGCTCAACCCAGTCACTCACCTTGCAGCGCATCTGCTCCGCAATGAGCTCTTCCTGGTGGTCCGGCAGAGGCAGGGAAAGCTTCTTTTTGAAAGTTCGCAGTTTCTCCAGAGACTCAGCTATTCCAGTCTCACACTTCTCCCAGTCCTAAAATGGGAGGAGAAAGACATTCGATGTATTCTTCTGGAGGAAACTGGAAGAAAAATACCCTCTGAATTCCCATACATCAATTATTACCTGATTTTTTTTTACCAGACACATGTATTTCTTTTGTAATAAGAAAAGTAAAAGAAAGAACATACAGAAATCAGAATAGAGACTTGATTCTTTACAGCACCCTACCCACAGGTGAACTCTTATCTGCTGTCTCAGTGCCAGTGCAAATTAAATTCAACTAAACAAATCCCCTTAATTTTGTCTAATATCCCCCATTCCTGGCTTCCCCCTCTCCATCAGCCCTCCCCAGGGATCCCTCCCCACAACTTAAGTTACTGAGTTCCAAAGAAAAACAACTAGAGTTGCTTTTAATAATTCGTGTGGTGCCGAATCACGTTGCATTTTTCTTTACATGATCTCTTCCATCATTACCCATCTTTCTTTGTCTGGGTCATTTCTATGTCCTCTCCCGGTGCCTTATTTTTAACACAGCAACCCAGAGGTGCTATTTACCAAACTGTCTTCTTTAAGAAGCGTTGACTAGATTTCTCCCATACTCAAATGTCTTTTGGTTTCTAACTGACCTGAGAATTTGGCTCAAGATTCTGATTTCACTTTTAAATTCCTTTAGGGAATTTCCTAGAGCAGGGGTGGGCAACCTTTTTGTGAGTGCGTGCAAAAACCAGCAAAATCTCTGACTCAAAATTCTTCTGCGTGCCAACCCTAATTTTTTGAGAACATATTACACCTACTTGATATCTCTTAAGGTGTACATATGTGAAGAACCTTGAAGAAATAATAAAATTAATTCGAGCGACAAAAACACAGTATATGATGATGAAAAATACATTTATTTTTTAATGTATACATGTTATGTAAAATTATTTATTTATCTAAGATGCACCTACACTGAATTTATCTGAAAAATAAAAAAGTCGATATTAAGAAAAAAATTGTAAATGGAATATTATAAGAGAGGGTTTCGCGTGCCAGCAAAAGTTACTGGCGTGCCATGTTTGGCACGCGTGCCAGGGGTTGCCCACCCCTGTCCTAGAGTGTATCACCACATTCCCTCTTCCTAGTTACCAGGAACAAATATCCCTGTGTTCCTAGGCCACAGTGAGTTCATCAATGCTAAGCAAAGTGAGTAGACAGAAATATCCTTTCTACTTGAATTGAACAGCATTCTCAATTAAATCATCACCCATTTTGAAACCTATCAATCCACAGTCAATAAACATTCATTGATCCAAAAAGGGAAAAGATCAAGTCCTTATTTATCATGACAAATTTAAGAGTGATGGTAAAGTAGGTGACCATGCAGAACATAGAATTATAATGATTACATTTTTGGCACATTTTCACAGAGTATTAAATTAGGAGATAAAAATAGATAAGCATTTTGTTATAGCTGTGGGGGAAGATACAGTAACATGAGGCTGTCCAACCATTAAAATTTAGCTTCATAAACTCCTTAGGCAAATAGGACATTGTGTATGATTCAAGATAAAATAAACTTTAACAAGGAAAGAATGGGGATTTCCCTTTCCAAGCGTGGCTTAGATTCTGAAGCTATAGCCAAGTCTCTTTACTACATGAATTATAAGGAAATAGCGAAATGTCACGGTCTGCAAACATCTATCAAAATGGATGTTTCACACGCCAACAAACAGACTGACAAGAAAAGCAAATGCAGTGAGTCAACCATCTCGCCTTATTAAGTCCTAGGAATGTGTCCAATAATCCCAGCACAGATAAAGAAAAACATATGATTAACATGTTCTCTACAGAATGAGTTACAATGTTTTTAATCCTTTCCTGAAAGCAAAACTGAAGAAAAGGGAATCAGGCATATTGTGTTACTGATGAATTGTGCTGTGTGCAAATAATTGTTCTTTAACAGATGTTCAATGGCATTTTTGATTGTTTCCCACACCCAGGTAATATATCATTAAATAATATTTAATAGGATACACCCAATGGGTGTGCACACTTTAAGTATTAAAAAACAACAACAACCCACAAAATGTATTCCATTCACTTGAGTTATTACCTTTGATCCAAAAAGTTACAGGCCAATTTTAATAGACAATCATATTAAAGTGTTGGTGAGTATCAACATATTTAAAACTTTAGTATTTAGCTGTGTTCACTTTTTAAAAATGATGTTATTAACAATGACAATTAGCATCATTTATTGAGGGCTCAATATGTTCCACCATGATTTACCTTCAACATTTCATTAAATCCTCGTAATGCAGTATGAAGGAGGTGTCATCATACCCCCTCTACAGATGAGGAAACTGAGGTTGAGGGAGGTTGAGTCAACCAGGTTACTTGGTATATTATAGTTTTAACTTGGGTTTGTCTAAGGTCAGAGCCCATGCTCTTTTTCAACTGCTGATTTAATTATGTATTTAGAAATGGCTTTGAAAAGTGAGGGAGAAAAGCAAATTGTGGGGAATCTGGATAAACTTACATTTCCCTAAACTTGCTGCCTGATTAGTGTGCAAGCGGAATCCAACCAAAGGCTTAATACAGCTCCTGGAGGTTTTATCTCATAGCCACACCCTTGGATAAGCTAAGATCAAATCAAGAGCACCTTGCTGGATAGTTCTTTCCCTGCTATAAAATAAGAGATATCAATCTTGAAAACCACTGTGAAGTCTTAGACTAGGGAGTGGAATCTACTCTTCGCATTCCTGTCTGGGTTTATACAGTCATCACATTGCTCCTGGCTTAGCACCGGCCATCAATCAGAATTCACTGCTTGCATGGTCTTGTTGGACTTAAAACGACTTTGTTGGGGGATTTTCCTGAGAGACAAACTGCTGGAAATGGAGAGACTTCTCCGGTTTATGCAAGACAGGCAGAGTCGTAAATAAGACATAGGAGGTCAGAACACCGCAGGTTGACAAGGACCTTTGCGTTATCTGAGTTGCAGGACACCAATGAGAGGAGCTTGCAGCTCTGCTACATCTACTGGAGGAAGGGGCTGGACCTACTTTCAACAAGAAGGCCAGCTTTTTCTTCTGCTCCTCCAGACGCACGCTGGCGGCTTTCCACTTCTCCTGGATTTCCGTGAGCTCGGCCTGCAAGGCGGCCTGGGCCCCGCTGTCGGCAGAGAGCAGCAGCTGCTTGCCCGCCTCCACGGTCAGGATGTAGCTGCCTTGTTGCCGCAGGAACACTTTCTCTTTGAACTGAAAGGAAGCAGAGCTGTTTATTTTCTCATTCTTCCCTTCATCATTTCCCCATTACCAGTATTTTTTAATGACCCTGGATGTTTGCAGACATAGCATGCCCTCTTTTATCCTGTAAGCATTTACTGAGCAAATACTTTGTGCATGAATAGAACTACATGTAAATAAATGAGAAGTCAATAGGGAGAGGCCTAGTGTCTGCTCCCGGTTTAATGAAATCATGAGACAATATGAAAACTGCTCTATAAAATTTATGCACAGGGAGCACACTGTCATATGTGTGTGTATGTGCTTTTAAAAAATTTTATTATGATCTTTATATTTCTCCCACAGAAAACATTTATAATTCGTATTTAATATAAACTAATTCAAAGAAAGATCAGTGATCACATATCTAACCCACTTGGGGTACACAGGGGGCTCCCTCAAAATAGTAATGCCTTTGTGAGTCTTGAAAGACATATAAACACAACCAGGTTAAGGACCTGGTGTCATGTGAGGGCATGGAGGCAGGGAGAGAACACCTCCCATGCAGAGAAATGAGGATGCGCTAATTTGCTGTACAAGGTAAATACGGATTTAGGGCCCTGGAGGTAGTTTTCAGTGGCTGGAACATCGGATGCATCTAAGAGCAGAAGAAGATGAAGTGAGACCACCTTGCATAGGAATTCAGTTTGGAAATAAAAGTGACTGAGATTCACAGGATATTAAGCAGGAACATGACATGTTTGCTGAAAGCAGTCGGGTAGAAAACGTGGTCAAAGAAGAGCATGTATCGGATCTACTATGACAGGTTAGAAAGCTATCGCCTGTCTAGGCAAGAAACCATGAGCACCTACTCTAAGGCAGTGGCAGTAGGGATGGAAACGAGGAATATTAGACACGGGAAGGGAGAGGAAACGAAGAGTATAGCTATGGTTCCTGACTGCTGGACCGCTAGCTGGTGATGACATTTCCTCAGATGGGTTACATGGGAACTGGACTGGAGAATGGTTGGTCCAGAGAACCCAGCTGTTGTTGGAACCCACGGAGTATGTTGTGTGTGTGACGCACATAGACATACATCTAAAAGGCAGATGAATTACATGAGCTGGAAGCTCAGGACGTAAATGTGACCAGAAGATACCAATTTGGCCATTCTCTGCTGTTAGAATGTCATTGAAGCCACGTATGGACATGAGGTCTACAAGAGAAGTGAGGAGAAGAAAGAAAGCAGAGAAGAGTGACCTTCAGAGGAAGAGGGACCCATGAAGTCCACGGGGACAGACTGATGAGAAGGCTAGCAGGTATCTGTCCAAGAAGCTGGAACCCAAATCAAATTCCCAGGCTGGTGAGAGGAGGGGCTGGACCAGGAATGGACACACAGGACTGAGCCCCTCTCTTCTTTGGGACACTCCAGTGAATTGTTTAAACTCAGGAGTAAAATAAGCGCAGTCAATGCAAGGTTGTCCTTCCCTTTCTTCTCCATCCCTGATGGGATCCAAGGAGCTGCTGGGTGGCCTGGGTGTGTGAAGAGGAGGGAGTGTTTGTACGAGGCCGGAACCTACCAAACTTTCATCATTCAATACGGCCTTTGGAAAGCAGTCATTTTCCATGTGTCTGTTGACATCTGAGAACGACGTTTGTCCTCATTCCAAAGTCAGTCCAGAACCGCTCTGAGAAACTGAGGCTGGGGAAGTGTGCAGAGTGGACAGGCAGAAGAGGTTCAGCCGGCGTGCTCTGCCCTTACCTGCACGTCGTCGAAGAGGGTCCGCGCTTGCTGCAGTGGGATGGGGACGCTCCCGAGACCGCTCACGGGCAGGTAGGACACTTCGACCAACCACTTGCGGAGCTTCTCTGCCATCTCCCTGTAGCGCTGCCACTGGCGGATCTGGCTGTCGATGATGCCTCTCCTTTGCTGGGCCCTGCGGATCACTCCCTGCCACTGATGACTGAGGAGGGTCAGTTTCAGGTTGAACTCATCCCTGGGGAACAAACAATTCCACAGGGGAAAACACTGTGATCCCGAATGTAGTGACATTATCAGCCAACGTCCACATACTCGATGGCTGTAAGCCCTGAAAAGCGATCAAGGGCAGAGGTTTTCAAATATCATGCCATGATCTGCTATCAGGTCTATTGCCAGCACATTTGAAAATGAACAAGCCGGGCTGGTGTGGCTCAGTGGTTGAGCATCAACCTATGAACCAGGAGGTCATGGTTAGATTCCCAGGCAGGGCACTTGCCAGGTTGGGGGCTCAATCCCCAGTAGGGGGCGAGCAGGAGGCAGCCCATCAATGATTCTCTCTCATCATTGATGTTTCTATCGCTTTCTCCCTCTCCTTACTCTCTGAAATCAATAAAAATAATTTTAAAAAAATATAAAGATGAATAACAATTAAAATAGCGGGGTTTGAAAACAGTGAGTGTTCTCATGTTTCAGCACAGGCTGACGGCATATGGATAAGGTCAATGTCGAGTGCATGAGATTGGAGGGGGCATAGGGCAGCAGTTGCAATGGGAATGGCCCCCCAAACCCTCACCCTAAGTGCACCTATAGAAATGTTTGCACCATGTCCACAGCACCTGGTGTGTGCTACAGGAGAAAATGGGGAGCAATGCTTATTGATAACCTCTGTCCTCAGCTGGAATTATAAGCCACTTTGAATGAATAAAACTGGGTGATTTTAGCTAGAGTCAGGAGCCACTTAAATAAAATTATGTTATTTAAAAATTAAAGAAAACCACACTGTATTCCATGAGCTCTCAGTATTCCTCACAATAAACATCCCTGGTCATCACTATAAAAAGGTGGTCCATATGCATAAAGGTATTCCAATTTTACTGAAGTCTTTTCAATTTCCAGGTAAATAATATCAGATATTTTTAGCTTGTTTTTCCTACTTCTGTATTTTCTACCTTTAACAAATGTTGTCTCGGCCAGCATTGCTCAGTGGTTCAGTGTCAACCTATGAACCAGGAGGTTCAATTCCCATTCAGGGCACATGCTTGGGTTGTGGGCTTGATCCCCAGTGTGCTGTGTGTAGGAGGCAGCCGGTCAATGATTCTCTCTCATCATTGATGTTTCTGTTCCTCTCTCTCCTTTCCTCTCTGAAATCAATAAAACTATATTTAAAAATTAAAAAATGTTGGCAGTTATTCATTGAGTTTTCTTTATCTTTCGACTTGTAGCTCTAGAACTGGTTTGCCTAGTATCCAATAGAATGAGTTTCTTTATAGATGATACTGTTCTTCACATGTTTTAGTGCTCATGTGTAACATTACTCACTCTTTCTCTATTGTGTTAGTTTTTTTGCTCTTCTTCCTGAGATATGTGATTTCTCCTCCTGCAGATCTGAACTGGACTGATTCTTCGGGGCTCACACTCTTGGAACCTCCTATTACCTAAGGCAGTGATGGCGAACCTATGACATGCGTGTCAGAGGTGACACGCGAACTCATTTTTTTTGTTGATTTTTCTTTGTTAAATGGCATTTAAATATATAAAATAAATATCAAAAATATGTCTTTGTTTTACTATGGTTGCAAAGATCAAAAAATTTCTATATGTGACACGGCACCAGAGTTAAGTTAGGATTTTTCAAAATGCTGACACGCCGAGCTCAAAAGGTTCGCCATCACTGCCCTAGGGCCACTGTGAACTCTGAGTTTGTAACCAAAAGTGTTCTCAGTGTTTCTGTTTTTAAAAGAGCCTTTCTGATATTTACCATCTAAGTGCAGTAGAACCAAATATGATGAGTTGGGTTGATGAGACCTCCCTAAAAGCTACCAGTGTCTCTCATCTCTGAAAACATGTGACTCCAGGCCCCAAGAATACCCTGCAACATGAGAAGTGCCCTGCCTACCCTCTCCCCACCAGGCAGCCGGCCAAGGTCTTGCTGGAGCCGCATCCTCGCTCTGCAGAGCAGAGCAGTCCTGAGCTACCTGCCAGCATGAGGAACTGCTTCGAGCACGACACTGTTCCCTCTGCTGAACTTGAGCTCTACAAAGCAGACGTTATAAATGAACTCTTAAAACAATGCATTTGTAATCTGAGGCCTTCCTACTGTCAACATGTTCTAACGAAAAATTTTTTTTCCACTTGCAACTTTCAAAATTATTCTCCAGTCCAACCCTCATAATTTCATCCCTTGGTGTTTTTCCCTAACTGATAACATTGAAAATTTAATAGATGTTGGCTTGCGCATGCCTTTTAAATTTTATTTTACTTAATGACTCAAACTTTTGTAATATTGTTATAGAGTTGCCTAAGGGAGGATAAAGCAAAAGATAAGTTAATTGCATCTAAATCTGTCTTCTTTTGAGGGACTTAAATTCTCTGTAGAGTTCACATTAAATTTGGCTTACTTAGACTAGAATAAATACGGTATCATATTTTGTTGTTCCAAGTTTAACCATAGAAATCTTTCATGTTCTTCCAAAGAAATAGCCACTTTAAAACTAAAATTGCTTCCAAAGCATTTAAGAAAAAACACAGCTTAATAAAAATCATGATTTTTTAAAATAATACAAAATTAAATATAATCACAATTACTGGTCCTAAATATGGGAAAGATATATACATGTAATAAAATAAATGAGGTTTATACTGCAAATATCACCATGGAGTCTAGATGGGATAGCATAACATTGGTCCCAGGAAATGGAAATGTAGTATGAAAGCATCAACTCACATACCACCAAGCTAACGAGGAGGTATTACCCCTGCATTTGAATTTTTTTTTAAAGTTATCTTCATTGTTGAAAGTATCACAGATGTTCCCCTTTTTTCTCCCCTTGACCTCCTCATTCCTGCTCCTGCCCACTCCCTGGGCCTTCACCTCACTATTGTCTGTATCCATGGTACGCCTGCATTTTAAATAAAGAATCTGCTAAGTACACAAAGAGGAAGCAGGCTGCGTGTAATATGACGTAAGGTAGCCAGCCCACCATTTTCAAATCTGGTGGAATTAGCAAGGTATGAGAGAGCTGGCTGGTCTCGACTAGAAACCAGATACTCCAGTTCTAGGCTCGATTCTGTGCTAGGTAGTTCGTGGCCTTGGTCCTATCAGTTCACATTTCTGGGCCTCAAGTTTTCCTCTGTAAGTTAGAGGGATGGTCTAGCCATCTCTGGGCTCCTTTTAGGAATAAAATGTCTGCAATCATGTGAGACTATGAGAAGCATATGTTTATAAACCACTGATGCCTCATTGATACAATTCATTCTGATCTATTTATTAATTCCAGTCTCCTACAGACAACTAGCAGAGGCTGGCTAGGTGATTTCCAATTACGCTACGTCCTTCATATCATAGAATAGCAGTTCTTTAAAAAGATTCAATCCTCAGTCATTTCAGAGATTCATAGAAGCCTCTCCTCCAATTACGGAGGCTCCACTGCAGTACAATTGCCTTGGGAAGGTTGGATATATGCCTTCTAATCTGCTCATTAGAAAGAAAATGACTAATTTACTGGAACCTTTCTTCATAATAATATATCAAAGGTCCTACCTGTCATCAACTTGACCTTGTTCCAGAAGACGCTGCCCATCAGTAATGATCGAGTGCAAAACCTGTTGACGACTGAACATCTCTGCTTGAAACAACTGTTATTAAAAAAAAAAAACAACACACAAAAAAACACATAATTTAGAGTTTCTAATTTTAATGACCCGTTCTCTAATAAGTTTCCAAAAGTTCTGATTTAAGCAAGGTTATGGAAAATCTCTCCAGCTGAGTCGGGATACTTGTTTTATCCTGCAGTGTAGAAATAACGTAGTTGTAAACCATCAATTAGGATAGCCTTAAAGTTTAATTTTTATTTACCAAAACTGACTAAAAGTAGAATTATGTTCCTCTCCTTTCTTTCGAAATCACCTATAAAGTTGGTTAGCACATAAATTGTATTCCAGATCCTTCTGTATGCAGAGTATGGTTTCATACAGAGACTAGCTTAAGACCTTTTAAGAAGTTGAAGAATGAAAAATAAAAGAGACTTTTTTTTTGGAACTCACTATTTTTCAGTTTAATTGGGTTAATAAAATTATTTCATACTAAAAAATTCAACAGAAATGATTCCAACCTTTTTTTCAATTGTTGCTTAAACAGGTTTACTGAGATATAATTCACATACCATATAATTCACCTATTGAAAGTGTGTAATTTAATGATTTTTATTATATTTGCAGACTTGTGCAACCAATACCACAATAAATCTTAGACCATTTTCATTACCCCGAAAAGGACTCCATGCTCATTAACAATCACTCCCCATTTCCAATCCCCACCTCTAAGTAACCTCTAACCTATTTTTCATCTCGACATTTCATATCAATGGACTTATGCAGTGTGCTGTCTTTTGTTATTGGCTTCTCTTCCCTTAGCATTATATTTTCAAGTCTGATCCATTTTGCAATATATGTCAACAAAGCATTTCCTTTTTATTGCTGAGTAGTATTCCACTGTATAAAGATACCACATTTTATTTATTTATTCTTCAGTTGGTGGATATCTGAGTTGCTTCCACTTCTTGGCTACTATGAATAATGCCGCTATAAACAATATTCTTGTACAAGCTTTTGACCACATGGATATATGTGTGGATGTATATTTTCATTTCTCCTGGATGAATTCCACCCAGGAGTGGAGATACAGGGTCACATGATAACTCTATGTTTAACACTAGGAGGAACTCCCACACTGTTTTCCAAAAAAGCTTCACTATTTTCAATTTCTATCAATAATGGGTAAGGATTCCAATTTCTCCATTCCCTCCCTCATCAACACTGATCTTTTCCATTGTAGCCATCCAAGTGGGTGTAAAGTGGTATCTCATTGCAGATTTCATTCACTGTATTTTATTTCCCCATCAGTCAAATCAATAAAAATGGACTTAAAAATACCTTACACGTATTTAAATCCTTGATTTCTTAAATGTGAAACAAAATGCTTCAAAATTCATTTTATTCTCTTTTAAATTCTGCATAAAGCCTTTTCTCTGCTTGTAGGTAAATCCTATCTCCCTATTTGCATATATTTTATAAACATGTGCGACAACTCAGTCGCACCAGTAAGTAGCAAAATAGAGGCTCACAGCAAAATAACTAATTTGGGTTTTGTATCTAGTTTTCTATCAGTGTTTCTTGAAAAATATAATATAATCTGGTCAAGAGGTGCACTTGGAGGTTTTGATAGCTTGATTCCCTAGAATAAAATGCATATATGCTTTTTAAAGAACATACAATTTTCATTTATCAAAGAATTTTTATCAAAGCAGAATCTCTGTAGCAACTAGCCTTGGCAATATTAGTGGAGTCTGTAACTCAATTTGAAAATTGAATCCAACTTTCTGAACTCCTTCCACAACCCTGCCTGCCTCCCCTCCCCACCCCTGTAAGTAGACCTTGACCACAATTGTGACACGATCCAGTGCAGGGTATTGAAGCCGGCCACCGGCTTAAAACCAACAATGGGGCAAAGGGTGGGCTACAATTTGGGAATTAAGCCATCAAAAGAAAGAAGGCAAAAACAGTGTGTGCATTTGAGCAGACGCAGCACAAGATTCAGCCTTTTAATCCCTCCACATGGCATTTTGTAGCATCTTTCAAAGGCCTATTTAACTGCCCCCAAATCTACTTAGCATAACTCACCTCATGGGCTCTCTGCTGCTCCAAAAGATGCTGATAATTGCCTGAAATCTCAACGGCTAATTTTTGCTCCGTCTGAACCAGGAATTCCATCCATGTTTCGCATTTTTCCAAGAAAGTCTGATGTTGTAGCAAAAATGACTGCAACTTACTGACAAAATAAAGGAAAGAGAATAGTGGCTATGTTGCTGCTTTTTCTTCTATCTTTGGCATATAAAACAAGATTAAATAATTTCTGCCTCTGATTCTAATTTGACTATCACAAACCTTTCATGTTAGGTAGTAAAATTTAGAAAGCAAAATTGAGAAAAAAAAGTTTAAAATGGTTAAGTTTTAAGAATGAAATGATGATGTATCTTTTATATATTGTTATGTAAAGGGGCTTGCTATTTTTTGATTAAAAGAATATTTAATACATTAAACATGGGAAAGCACAATTTGAGCTTCTTACTTTTAGTTCCAATTTTGTACATCGGAAAGACCTAGGCTTTATAACTGCACACCAATCATGAACTTGTTTCTACTGACATATCACAGCCGCCAAAACATCTCTTGGAGACTCTACCTGAATCTCTCTGTGGTCTGAGAGGAGATGAGAGACCAGTGCCGATTCAGACTCTGCATCCTTTTGATTTCCTTGTCATTCAGGGGTAGCCTGTAGCCAAGCTCATTCAGACGGTCTAAATCGGGGGCCATGCTGCTGAATTTTAACATCTGTCCCTGAAAGCGAGATTTAAGAGTGGGTTTAGCACCGCGGTCAGAAAGGGGAGGGAGCTTTCCAAGTGCTCAGTGAACTTGGATTTCAGCAAGAGGCCGGCTGTTGCTCTCCTGTGCATTTCTAGGCCACCTGCTTGCCATCGCGAGAGCTGCAGATAAAGAAAAGCTGCACCTTCCAGTCAGCATCCGGGGCTGCCACTGCCACTTGGCTATTGCTACTCACCACCCCTTGGGGAACAGTTAGTAGTTATGTGTATTATTGACTGGATTCACTTACTAATAAAAAGTAATTCTTCATAGAACTGATAAAGAATGAAAATTATGCTGATGGCTGAGAAGGCGTATTCTTACCTTTATAGTTCATTTATCCCTGCTAATCTGTCCCTTTATTATTTAATAATAATAGTGATAGTAATACTAATTAACATGTATTGAGCACTTATTTGAACTAAGCATTGTTATAAGAGCTTTACAGGTAATACAATAACTCATTTTTAGCCTCAAAACAATCCCATCAAGTACTACACTACTATTCCCAATTTACCATGAGGAAAAAGAGGCCCAGAAGCTTTAAGTCAATTGCTCAAAGTCACCCAGCAACTAAGGGGTAGAGCTACGTAAGCAAGAGTTGTTGGGTTCTTGCTAAATGGCACACTACCCCACTCCATACATTATCTGAAGAGCTTCAGTTTTAGGACTTTGGCCCCAGCCCCGATGTTAGTGACCATCAACTGAGAAAGCAGTCTGTGCTTTCAGCCCTCTGTCCTCCCTTCAGTCCCAGGACAGGGCTGCCTCTTCTAGTCTGCCTGTGGGCATTCACAGCCCATCTAGGAAACCAGCCACAGGAAGGAGAAAATGCCAGGACACTTGGCTGTGTGTGTTTTCCCTTTGCGTGCTCTGCAAAGCTCATCACCCTGGAGAAGGAAGTAACTCAAAATAAAAAGGTAGGCCTATGTCCGAAGTTTTGAGTTTTCCTTAAGGTTTGGAGGACAGAAGATGGGAGGTCTGGGACGAGGATTTCCACACACTTGCCTTCAGTTCTTCCATCCTTTCCTGGATGGTCGAGAGGTCAGATGAGTGGCTGGGGTCCTGCCCTTGAAGTATTTCTTCAGCTTCTACTATCCAGGCCTCCAAAGCTTCTAAACTCTTGGTAAAGGTTTCATAGTCAAGAACTCCAGCCTTTTTATTACAAAAGAAAATGAATAGTTAGAAATCTAGTGAAAGGACATGGATACTGAAATCATTTCTCATAGTCTATTGTCTAATTGCAATTGGACAGGCAAGGCTACAATGATTTTACATTTTCTTCTTTTTAATAATATAATTTTCTAAAACCTAGAATGTGTTACTTCTATGTAGAATTACCCAGTTAGAGTCACTCTTAAAATATATTACCAAACTGAAATATATTCTGATTCTTGCAAAAACTTATGAATTTTAATATTAAGCCACTTAAGTGTTATTAACTGAACATATTTTACTCAGTGCCACGGAAGAAAGCATTGGTTTAGGGGCACAATTACTTTGTAAAGAATAGTGTAAAACTCCCGCCTTCCCTTATTCCCACAGAAAATGCCAAGTTTGTTTATATTTTTATCCTTTGGTCTTGAAGGAGGCGGTGTCTGAATGATGAAAAATCTTCTTTTCCTGAGTTTATGCTCAGAAGTTACAGAACACCCAACTGACAACACAGGCTGAATGTGAGCTCTGTACCTGTAACACGCTCTGCTGTTTGCAAAGAGCCTGCTCCAGGGCACACAAGTGTTGACTCAGAGACAGCTGGTCCGAGTGAATGGCTGCTGCTGCGGAAGCATCCACCTGTTGCTTGAGTTGCTCCCCCAGCTCATGGAGAACAAACAGGGAATCCTTAACGGTGCCCAGACCTCTGAGGAGGTCCTGTGGAAGATGAAAACACGCCCGTCATGAAACCACATGCTAAGTGTAGTCCGTATAACAAACAATCAGCGAAGGGCCACGCATCTAGAAACACTCCATTCTTATCTGTCAAGTTATTACACGAAATCACCTTCACCTGAAGGAAAAATAATCAAGAATTGAGTCCAATTTATAAATTCAATTTCCACTGGCTTATCATTCTGAGCATAAAAGGTGGAGGCAAGAGATACCATGGAAAATACTGGAAGTGCAGCTCCCCCTAGCCCTGGGCACCAGAACCATCGCTAGGGTTCCACACCCGACTAATAAATCCAAAGGCACACGCAGTCAAATGTCCTGGCATTATCCCCTTTTTGTGGCTGGTTTCCTAGCCGGGGCTGCGAATGCCCACAGGCAACCCAGAAGAGGCAGCTGTGTCCTGGGATTGAAGGGAGGACAGAGGGCTGAAAGCAGACTGCTTTCTCAGTTGATGGTCACCAACATTGGGGCTGAGGCCAAAGACTTAAAACTGAAGCTCTTCAGATAATGCATGGTGTGGGATGGTGTGCCGTCTAGTAAGAACTCATGTAGATTAAAAATTTTAAAGAACGCATTTACTATCTATAATAATAAAAACATAGTAATATGTTAATTATTGCGAATTTCATGCATCAGGCCTCTAGTTCTGATCATAAAAGCCACAGAGACTTTTATTGTAGAACACAGGGGAATGCAGCAAAACATACATAAACAAGAAAAACAAATCTACAAGTAGAGTCAATAACTGCAATAGTGGACAGTTTTTTCTTGCTTCTTCATATAATTGATGTCAAATTGAAAACACAGCGCCACATTTTATCTCTTTCTACTTAGTGTTATAGGCCCAAGAGATGAGTTTATCAACAGTATCATCTGTAGGATGGGTGGTCGAGGTACAGTGGTTGTGACACACCCGCCTATCTCAGTGGGGTGTGGAACCCTCTCGATGGTTCTGGTGCACAGGGCTAGGGGTGAGCTGCACGTCCAGTATTTTCCATGGTAGCTCTTGCTTCCAACTTTTATGCTCAGAATGATAAGCCAATGGAAATCCGGTTTCTGGTTTCCATCTACCACTAAGCGATGACACATGACTGACTCTTCTACTTGCTGCTGGTGCCCCACCAGACATGGAGGAGAGCGAAGAGCCTGCGTATACACACGCAGGGCCTACTGTGAGAGGAAGAAAAGCAAAGGGCGACTTTACCCTTGACATAGCTATCAGATAAAGGCACAACTGGGAGCACTGCGCTCTAAAACAGGTGCATCTCCACTCCGAGGGCTGAATATTGACAATGAAATCCTGTTAAGGATAAACCCTCAGTAGACGGAGAAAAAGCAGGAGAACTATATTCACCATACATATTCAACTGTAGCTTTCACGTGATGATGTGTTATTAATGTAAATGTATTAGACTAGGTAAAACTTTTATTTATGTGCTTTTTATAACCTGCCTAATTCTGATAAACTGAATGGGAAAGTTTGTAAGAAGATATTTGAAACAAATTCATTAAAGACAAAATAGGACAAATAGTAAGAGCCATGCACTGCGGGAAACAAAACTGTTCCCAAAAACCTTAAGTAGGTTATTGGCAGATACAGTGAAAAAGAGAACTATTAGAAAGCTATTAAGAAGAATACACCCATAAATCAGGAGAGAAAGACTTCTTTGTACCATTAAATTCTTAGAAGGCATTATGTTGATGCTTATGTAAAAGATAATGAACCAAAATGGATGAGACCTTTAACAGTAGATTTTTAAAAGATAGAACATTATTCTCCATATGGTCATTTCTTATATTGACCATCTCTGTAGAAACAGCTTGAATCGTTCACATGGATTGCATTCCATTAGGAAAAATGGGAAAATAACTCATTGGAAAAATGAGCCTTAGCCGGTTTTGCTCAGTAGATAGAGCGTTAGCCTGCGGACTGAAGGGTCCCTGGTTGATTCCGGTCAAAGGCACATGCCCGGGTTTTGAGTGAATCCCCAGTAGGGGGCGTGCAGGAGGCAGCCAATCAATGATTCTCTTTCATCATTGATGTTTCTGTCTCTTTCTCCCTCTCTGAAATCAATAAACATATATTTTAAATAAATAAATAAATGGAACAATGAGAGGGGCCTTTAAAATCCAACGCATGTGTTCTGAAAACCTAGCAGGCTCCTTGATTAAAACAATTCTTTGCGGGTCAATTGTCTCACATACTGAGACATATCAAAGGCTTACCCACATCAGCACTCGCCCTGCCAAACTGGAGAAGTCTACGAAAGGCATGTTTGGGAAACAAACCATGATCGTGCCCGAACGTACATTGCAATCGTGAACCCACGTAGCCACTTCGTCATCTGCGATGTCCTTGCTGGCGGCCGCCTTCAGCAGCTCCTGGGTGCGGCCCGCCTGCTGCTGGACCCCGGAGGCGCACTGCGCGGAGTAGTCCCGGTGTCTCTGCCACAGCTGCAGGAGGGCCCTGCTGGCCTGCAGCTGCTCCGCCACCTCTTCCAGCAAGTTGTTCCATCTGGAAACGAGACCCAACACGTGTGGGCAGACCTCCCCCTTGCGCCAAATGCTCTGACTTGCTGTTTTATGTTTCACGATCCTGCGTCATGCGCATTTGGAAGGCATGCAAGGATGTCTCATTTCTATTGCACATCATAAAAAGTAGCATGTCACAGTCACCCCAGGGGGAGCCTGCAGGAATGAGGCCCATCTTTGGGTACATAGCAGTTCTAATTTCTCTCTCAACATCTTCGCTGCTTTTACTTACCATTAGCTTCATGTTGTCAAAATTAAAGCGCAAGTGGAATAAAATCTACAAAGCCCAAATTCAAAACCCCGGCAAGTTTTCATTGCGTCACTACTTACAAGGTGGTTGTGCTGTACGCAATGCAGCACAGTGTTAAGTTAGCAGGCGCCATACCTCATAGTGACTTCCTTTAAGGTACTGGTAAGAGTTTCTGTCACAGGTGGGTGACACTGTTTTAACAGCTGGTTGGTGACAGAGTCAAATTTCTGTAAGCTCTTTTCCTGTTTTTCTAGATCATCTTGAAGATTCTGCCCAAAGAAAAAATACCACAGATAAAATAGCAGTTATTAGGTCTAAATGCTAAAAACGAAGTCTAAAAGTAATTTGTAGCTGTTTTCATGAATATGCACATATGAATATAGAAACAGTGACGTCGCTGCAATGCTTTATATGCAAGTATTACTGAGAGTCTCAGTTCTTCGTGCAACTAAGTGATGGTCTCGATTCTTAGTACATCTCCACACGTGAAGGAGGCTACAAAGTCCAGTCCTATTTAACACTGGTATCCGATTGCCATCAATTCAAAATATGCAAAGTAAAGACCCTGGATTCTTTCCTACCTTAAGAGAGCATTTGCAGGTGTTCAACACAGACGAGGCTAAGTTAAAAAGCACTTACAACCTCCTCAAAGTTATAAAATGTGCTTTTAAACTTACTATTCTCAAAATAACTTTTAATGATTCTTAGTATCTGCAACAAGAATTTAAGGTTCAAATATATTATGTAGACACATTTTATCCTTCTTCCTGACTGCCCAGCCCCCCTTCCCCAAAGGTATGCCCTTCAGAAAGCCTGCCTATGAGGTCAGCAGCATATACATTTTGATCTCCAAACCAAGGAGGTACATGCTGGGCCCTTGCTGGCATCCCACCCCTTGAGGGCCTGCCCTGCCACCCCATAGTCTGCATTGAGTAGCCGGGGAGAAAGAGCAGTGACAGGGAGGGTGTTCAGTGCCCAGATGTGCCGGGAAGTGGGGGCAGCAGCTAATCTGAGGGAAGTGGCCTGAGCTAGGAGGGGTGCTGCGTTTAAGTCAAACAGCAATGATGCCACGATGCCACTCTAGATGAATGCAATGATAATGACACAGGAAACGAAGCAGCCGGTGCCAGAAACAGAGGATATGTGTACACACTGGGCAGACCACAGATATTATGCTAAATAAAAAGAAAACAGTAGTTTAAAAATTTACCACTTTTGCTATTTTTCCCTTTGCTTTCTTTTTAATCCCTGAGCATATGTTTGGAGAAGCAGGATAAAAAGAGAAAAGGGAAGACAGAGAAGGCAGCAACATGGATCAAGGAGATAGATTTGGATATAAAAATCATTTTACAAAATACATTCAGGTGGATATTTACATGTTAGAATTTAAAAGTCATTTCATTAGATACCATTAATCCAGAATTTGGTATCCACAGGCAAGTTTGGATGAGGAACAAATCAAGTTAAGTTTTTAGTTTGTCTGTATCGTTTAGAAAGATATCTGCAGGTAAAATTATTTAAACATTTTAAAGATACTTAAATATAAGCCATAGACAGCAATATTCCAGGACGATGTCCACATTTGCTATTTTCTTTATTTTCTCAAATTCAAAAGCATGTTCAGGGAAGGGTGAGTTCAGTCCTTACCTGAAGATTGTCTACCTGAACTTGCACAGCTTCCAAGGAGCCGATCAGCAGGCGGAAGCGGGAGAGCGAGTACCTGGCCTCCAGGAGGCAGCTGTTGATCTCATCGGAGGCCGCCTTGTGCTGGCTCCACTGGTCGTGCACGGACCTCAGCAGTACCTTTAACTGCCCAGCCTTTTCAAAGAGAAGGACACGTCTTACAACTGCATCACACTTAACATTACAAAACATGTGTTCAATGGGTGGGAAAAATTAATATTGAAGAACTTTATCAGGGTGTCGAGCATTATAAATGAACTCAAACACAAAAGATTGCACACATAAGATATAGCAATGTTGAAACTGATGCCTCTCCTACTTTTGAACACTCAGTCTAAATCAAAATTCTTGAAAAGGTTTTATACATAATCTTTATATGTAACATATATCATATAAAAGTGATAAAAAGCCAATATATTTAATACTACAGTTTAGAAAATGAGTGTTTTGACTAATGCATTAACTTTAGTCTTCATAACAACTTTATGAGGTAGATAACATCATCCTTGTCTTACAGATGAGGAAACTGAGGCACAAAGACGTTATGAAAATCACCTGGGACCATGCTGCTAGAATGTGAGAAGTCTATATTTGAAACGAGGCAAATCTGGTCCCAGGAAATGATACTTATCAGTCTATCTATCTATCTCACATATGTGCACACACACGCACAAATGAGTATCTTGAGACAAAAACTTCTCAGAACATTTCCCCCCATACTTATCTGCAACAGAAAAGTTAAGTTTTTAGTTTGTCTGTATCATTTAGAAAGATATCTGCTTTGGACTTCCTGGATGTCAGCCCCAATCTTCTGAATGCAATCTTTTCAATATGGAGGAACTATGACCATAATTAAGAAAATCGATAATAATAAAAGCATAACATGCTAATTAGACCAGACGTCCTTCCAGACGACCTTCTGGACAGAGCCAGGGCTGGGAGGGAAGCCAGTGCTGGCAGTCGGGGGAAGGAAGGCCTATACTTGCACGAATTTCGTGCATCAGGCATCTAGTAGATTATATAATAAATTAATTTGTACCTGCACGCTCTGCTTTTCTTCTTAGCATAAAAAATAATGTTGAAACCAATCAAGATACCATCTAATGGGCCCACGGACTAAGAAGGTGCTGCCTCAGAGATGAGGCGATGCCCACAGGTGCAGACAGGTGCCAGGGCCCACCCCATGAAACTCAGGAAGAGACAGGTAAAAAAAGCCAGGAGGGAATGAAAATTTTTAAGGAGTCTAGTTCTTCTTTGTGTTATGCTTGAGATGATGTTTCTATGAAAGAATCCCTTAATTTATTTATGTGGTAAATTGTTTCCAAGAATTTGTGATGATTTATAAAAATACATATAGGCCAGCCGGTGTGGCTCAGTGGTTGAACGCTGACCTATGAACCAGGAGGACACAGTTCAATTCCTGGCCAGGGCACATGCCCGGGTTGTGGGCTTGATCCCCAGTGTAGGGCATGCAGGAGGTGGCTGATCAATAATTCCCTCTCATCATTGATGTTTCTATCTCTCTCTCCCTCTCCCTTTCTCTCTGAAATCAATAAAAATATACAAATAAATAAAAAGATAGTAAACTTATAAAAATATACGAAAAATGAATTAAAAATCAGGTTGAAAGTAAGGGAAGGGAAAACTGCCCGGCTGCACTGGGAGGAGAGTGCACGGGCTGTAAGCAGCTGCTTGCTGGGCCACTGGTCTCAGTCACTGTCCTGCTGGTGCTGCAGCGCCTGCTTCTGTAAAGTGTGGATAATGACTATTTGTGTGCAGAACAGTATTTGCTTTGACATGTATTCTTTTCAGAGGATTCAACACTCCATTCAGCTTAGATTTATCAAGTGTCTCATGGAGCTATGTTTCAGTGGGAGAAATATGAACAGAGAAGTAGACTATACCACATGTTAGAAGTTGATAAATAATAGAAATAAAGGCAGAGCAAAGGAGAGAGTCAGGGAGTATGGGGCGGTCAGGAAAGCCCACACTGAGATGGAAAATTTGAAGAAAGACTTTGAGGATAGGGAGTGACCTGGTGGATACTGAGGAGAGGGTGTGGTGTTCCAGGCGAAGGACACAGCCAGTGCAAAGTCCCTGAGTATGGGCCAGGCCTGGTCAAGAGCAGGGGGAGAACAGAAGCCAAATGAGCCTGCAGGACAGACAGCTGCCAGAGACGAGGTCAGAGGGACCCTGGAGGCTGGGTCACGTGGGCCTTCAGGTCCTCACCAGGTTTTGTCCTCATTCTAAATGAGACAAGAAGCTAATGGAGGGTTTGAGCAGAGGACTGCTGTGATCTGGCTTCCATCTGAACAGGACCTCTCTGGCATGGAGACTACTGAGGAGGTCACTGATAACCTCAGGTGAGTGGTCGTGATGACATGGACCTGGGTGCTAACTGCAGGGACAGGGCAGAGCTTCGAGTCTGAAAATACACCTGTCCTGTTTGCTGATGGGCTGGATGTGGGGTATGACAGAAAGACAGGAGTGAAGATGACCCCATGGTTTTCTGCCCGAACAACTGGAAGGTTAGAGTTGTCATTGACTGAGTTGGGGGGGAAGTACAGGGGGGGGGCGCAGAGGTGGTTTGGACACGGGAGTTTGAGATGTCTACTGGTCATGCAAGAGGAGATGTCTACACATTGGGTTTCCCTCTTGACCCCAGCCTCTGTCTCTATCTAGATTTTAGGAGAGAAATCCAGGCTGAGGATACACATTGGAGAAATGTGTGTGCCTAAATGGTATCTATGGACATGGATATGAAGGAGGTTATTGTATATTTATTATAGAAAAGATCTGAAGCTAGACTTTAAAAAAAAGAGGTTAACAGCCTGGCCTGTGTTGCTCAATGGTTAAGCATTGACCTATGAATCAGGTGGTCACGGTTCAATTCCTGGTCAGGGCACATGCCTGGGTTGCGGGCTTGATCCCCAGTGGGGTGTGTGCAGGAGGCAGCCAGTCAATGATTCTCTCTCATCATTGATGTTTCTATCTCTCCCACTTCCTTCCTCTCTGAAATAAAGTGAACTTAAGTACAAAGAGTTGATGTACAGACTCGTATTAATTACTCAGCTACTTTAGGAAAACCAACAGCAGGTCATGAGCGTGACATGGCGAGCAGGGCTTGGAGCCAGCACTCACAACAACATTAACATTACCATGTGGTCTAAATGCGCCCAGGTTTGCTTGAGCTCCTGCAGCGTGCTCACGACAGCACCAGACACTTCTTCTTTCTTGTCCTGAATCAAAGCAAGTCCATTCTGTTCAATCTTCTCCACCTCTTTTTCTTTGGCTTTAATCAAATCTTCTAGATCCTGAAAGATTAAAAACATAGTCATTTTAAATTGCTCTATTATGATGCACTGAAATTGAGCCATGATAGTCTCATAGCCTAAAAATCTCTAAATAACCCCAAAAACTTATAATTCTCGGGACAGGGTCTCCATAGTGAAACTTTTTCCTGCATTTAAATTATGTAAATGGCCTTTTTATTCCATGATAAATTAGCATAACATATCAAAGTAAAATTTTGATTGCCTGATAAGGAAATGTCACCATGTAACTTTTTTTCAAGAAGCTACAGGAAACAGTTGGAAATGGTAACATGATTAAATTCTTAAATTCATGTATCTTGGTGTTGGGAAAATTACCCCGTCCTAACCCATAGGGTAAAATGCACTGGAATGGTATCCTGTAGCCCAGTATCTGAGATTTAGTTATATTTCGGCTACAATGGAGCTGTGGCACTTCGGATACGTTACAAACATTCACTGTGTCACAGATTCTTCAGAATGTCTATTATCCTTTATTTCTCCCTAAAATAGTCTGATACTATGTGATTCGAAAAAATTATAGGCTTTTTTCATGAACCAAATCCTCATTTTCTTTGGGATGTGCATTTATAACTGTCAGTATGGGATGTGCAAAAAAGAAAAGAAAATGAGGCAACGACCTGGAGATCACACTTAACCATGCTTCACAACCTTAACCAATATTTGAACGCCTTTTGAAAATTTGGAGAGCTCAGTGAGGCAGGCTCTGACTGCTCTCACCACTCTGTGAGTGAGCATGTGGGGGATCATGTCAGACAACCTGTCCTGGGTCTCAGAGCTGGTGAGGCTGCAGGTGGGCTTGGAACCCAGCCTTCTGAGCTCACTGCCGCCAAGCCCAGTGCTGCAGGCCAGGCAGCTGGACAGGAGTTGGGGAGAGGATGCCAATGCCAGGTTGGGTGATGGAGAAGCCGTAGATGAAGGCCTGGCTACAGTCTCAAATTCGGAAGTGCATCCCAGAGCTAGATGTAGAATGTGTAGACTTTGGAGGTTAGAGTGAAAAAATTCCAAAATATTTTAAATTTAGATAATGTCTCAATTCTGTAGAAAAGATTTCCACTCTTCTCTCATGATCCGCATAGAGATAACAAGATGGGGATTGGGTGGTACTATTCAGAGGCTATAGAGAGGAGCCCAGCCTCTGCTGTATTCATTACAAATGTTGTGCCTCTTTTATTTTTATTTCTGTGGGGTCCAAACTTTTAAGTCTACCTAATTTATAAAATAGGAATAATAATAGATTTGCTTACCTGAAAAGGCTAACATTATATATATTATATATTATATATCTATATCTATCTAT